CGAGCTTCACCCAGCCCGCATTTGCTTTTCTTGAAGGGTGCCAAAGTGGTTTGGGGGCATCAGCGATCAGAAGGGGTTTCTTCCATTTCCATTTGATGGAGAAGTGACTATTAAAAGGTTTGAGAAGTGGAGCAAGAAGGAGCTAAGCAAGCTGTGAGAGACCCATAGGTAATCTCAGCGGTATCTTCTCTACCCTCATGAGTCCAATGGGATTTCTTAGGCTGTTCTCTTTGTTCAAAGCTTTGAACTTTGCATCATAGTCTGCCTCTTTCTCCTTCAACTTATCCATTCTCTTTTCCAGTGCCTGCTCTGTTTTATAACAACCTTTTATGCCATGTGCTTGATTTCAGCTTCCTTTTATCTACTTCAGACACTTCGTTTTCCAACTCTTCATCCAAAGATTTAATCTTTTGATCAATTTTTAATTCAAACTCAGACTTCCTTCGGGTCAAGTTATGAGTGTCTTTTAGCCTTTTTCTAACGACTCTCATGTAAAGCTAACATGATTTGTTACATACAAATATAGTCAAAGAAAGATGAGACGAGACCAGACAGACAATCAAAGGCTGCAACGGGACTACCATAAGAAAGCCCTCCTACTAACATAGAAAGTTGAATCTCTTCCTAAACCAAGATAACTTTGTGTTCATCAACGAGCTTTGATAAAATTAGACTATTTGAGGTGTCATTTATTTAGACAAAGACACTTCTCTTTAATTAAAAAAAATTAAATATTCAAATTCTTAAAATTATGATATATATATATATATATATATATATATATATATATATAATATTAATAAGAAAAGTCTTGATTTCTTTATATCGAAACCAAATTAAGTTATGGGGGATAAAGATGCACTTAGAGATTAATTTTGAGGGCTAAAAATGGAATACTATTGTAAATGAATCATTTTAAAAATAACTTTTTTTACAAAAAATTATTCTCTATTAATTTCAAAAGTCTATTATTATAGAATATGATACTTTTCCTTAACAAATTTTAACTTTTAAATTTTATCCTATTTAAGATTAATTTTAATATAATGATATTTTTCTCAAATTGCAAATTCTATCTCTCAAAATTAATTTTAAAATATATTCAATTTTGATTGTATGTCTACTTTAATCATTATAATTAAATAATAATAATTTAATATTTGTAAGTAATTGGTTTTTTTTTTATTTTAAAAGTATATTATATTAACAAAAAAAATCTCGATTCCTTAATCCAAAAGTCAACGTAAAGCAAACCCTTTTATTTTCTTTGAAATATTCTATACTAAAATTAAGCCTAAATTTCCATTCCATCTCACCAATGGCGATGAGAGATTTGAGATCTTAGGGAGGGATCAACGTCTGAAACTTCATTCGATCAGTGTTTTTCTTTAATGCAGCTGAAATTGGCTTCGAATTTGCCCACGATTTCCTCCATTGAAGATCCTAATACTCCAATTCTTTCCCCCACTATCTCATCAGCTGAAGAACTAATGGCGGTTCCCGCGGTTCAGTTCCCGATCTTCATGGCCGTGAGAGTGCTCGGGATGGTTGTGGCAACTCTCGTCTTCATTTGGACCTTGCACTTCCGTGGAGGATTGGCGCTTATCTCAGATAACAAGGATCTCATCTTCAATGTAATTAGCAATTTCCTCTATATTCACAAATTATTTTGCTCTTCCGTGTGTTGTTTTTTTCCCTCTTTTTTCCGATATCTGAATTGATGCGCATGTTCGATGGGTCTTGAGGTAATTTAGTTTTCCGTGGTCTTTCTGCTTCGGATTTTGGATTTGGATGTTTGAAATTTGAGTACCATTTGGCTTGTCACCAGCAGAGATGTTTGGAATGAAATTAACGGTGCTACTACTTGCTCACCATTGTTAGTTCTTCTCAGCTTCAGCCTGAAATGGCTGTTTAATGTACTCGTGTAGTTTTGAATTGTATGCTCTAAACCCATTGATGATGCATGCGTAGAGTAATTGGGTCTTTTATTTCTCGGGTTTGGAGTATTGGTGACAAATTTAGAGATGAATTTTGAATGGCTAGTCATGTCTGGTGGGCAAAAGAAGTCATATGCATATAGAAATCTTTTACTGTCAGCTATCTGTGATCTGCATTTCTTATCAGTGCAAAAAGATGGGAGATAATGCAAAATAGAATTCATTCTTTACATGTGGCTCCAATCATCAAGGTCAATAGAATTTTTTGTTATTGACACAGCTTAGCTTGAGTAACATTTGGCTATCTACTATTATTTCTTGTGCCTCTTATATGAATCTAGTAACAAGCATGATTCAATCTTAGTATCTAAATTATTTTTTAATGCATATCTTCGTAGAATTGTTTATTTTATATTGATGGCAATCCTAGTGAAGAGTGTTTGTGTGAGATCCCACATCGGTTGGGGAGGAGAACGAAACATTCTTTATAAGAGTGTGGAAACCTCTCCCTAGTAGACGCATATGCATTTTAAAAATTTTGAGGGAAGTCCGTAAGGAAAAGCCCAAAGAGAACAATTTCTGCTAGCGATGGGCTTGGACTGTTACAGTTTGTTTGCGGGACTCGACTTAAATAATGCATCTGATGGTCTTGTATGTTTATAAGTTTGGTCTTGTAGTGGATAGAAACCAAGGATATGAGCATAATATTGAAATGGTATTGTCATGAAGACTTTTGGATCGGATGATGTCACGCGAGGGAAACATGATTATTATCTTTGCTGTTGATATATCCTATATGCTTTACATAATAGAAACTTTTATTTTTCTGTTTATTTGGTGAAGTTGCTCCTGTTTTGTAGGTCCATCCTGTTCTTATGGTCATTGGACTCATACTTCTAAATGGTGAAGGTAAATATCCTTTTTCTTTGGACTTAAATTGTAGTTTGAAGCACTAGTTTACACACGTTTGTGTTCTTCTTCCATTGTGGTTTTGATGCGATGGTTTGTATTTGACTATTTGAATGCATATGTAGACTGTGAAAATATGATGCTACTATGTTAAAGTGAGAAATCACGAATTCTTTTTTCATGGGAAACAAAATGCATTTGATAGGGGATGTGAAATTACAAAAAATAAGGGGGGAGGAAAGCCAAATCATATTTGATATAAATAAGCGTTTTTGTGGGCTAGGGGTGGAGGGCTATGAGATCGTTCACTCAATCCCGGGGAAAGAACTCCTTGAGCCTTAGTTGGAAGCTAAATTAAAGCTAAGCTTGTAGACTTGTAGAGAAAGTCATTTTACAGGTATACCCATGCATCTATGTTCCTGAATAAGCCAAGAAAGTTATGAAAAACTCTTTAAGTTGGCACAAAGATAAGAAGGTTGTAAAAAAAAAAAAAAAAAAAAAAGGCTCTTACTAGTAGAAATTGGAGAGTTGGAACTAGTAGATTGTAATTTAAGTGGCTCTTTTGATCTAGAACATTTATTGTGCTCAATTGTTTCTTCCCTGGGTGGTGGAGAGGGGTGTTGAGTTGTATGAGAGAGGATTGGTACTGTTGTTACTAGTTACTGCTGAATGGTTATTGCTTGCTAGGCTTCATCATGTAGGTCTTAGATTTTGTCCAGGAAACGTGTTATTTTACAAAACGTGCTAAAGGTCAGGTTTAGAATCATGTATGAAATATATATATCCTGAAACCAGTCTGGTGCGTTCAATGGTTTTGTTTACCGTGCTTAGATGTATTGATGCAGCAATGTTGGCATACAAGACAGTCTCAGGAACCAAAAATTTCAGAAAACTAGTTCATCTTGCAGTACAGTTTGTTGCATTCTGTTTAAGCCTGATTGGCATATGGGCTGCCCTGAAGTTCCACAACGACAAAGGAATCGAGAACTTTTACAGTTTGCATTCATGGTTGGGTCTAGTTTCGATCTTTCTGTTCGGCTTCCAGGTTCGTAAATTGCAATTTCTACTGGTGTGATGGTATGATTTACCTTTTGAGCCCGCTTGTTGAGCTATAACTCATTAGGATGACGCCATTTGAACAGTGGACTGCAGGATTTGTAACCTTTTGGTACCCAGGCGGCTCCAGAAACAGCAGATCGACTCTATTGCCATGGCATGTTTTCTTTGGTGTTTACATATATGGCCTTTCCATTGCTACAGCTGTTACTGGCTTGTTAGAAAAAGCTACATTTCTTCAAGTCAGCAAGGTGATTTTACGCTATTCCAACGAGGCGTTGCTGTTAAATTCGTTGGGTCTCCTCATTGTTCTTCTGGGTGGTCTTGTAATTCTCGCTGTTATCGCTCCATCGAGTAGCAAAGGTGACATTTTCAGGGGGCCAGCAGAATAGGATGAAGAAGCTAATGGAAATGGATCGAGGATTTTTGTTGCGTGACGGATCTTTCCTGCTGTAAACATATCAGAATCGAACTTGCCTTTATTTTTGACTCGAGACACAGTTAGATTCTTCCGTAACACAAAAATCACATCATAGGTTGAGAAGCAAACAGATTCTTTAGTTGAGAATAAGATGTTATATGTTGTCTTTCCACGTAGAGCTAACTCATTTTGGCAAAAATTAAATTTTCGATTGATATCTAAAAATTTATGCACCAAAAGCATGTTGAGCAGTTTTGTTCGTAAACATTGAAGCTAAGAAAATTTATAGTACAACGATACTATACAAAATTTTGAAACAAGATGGTGTGAATGATATTCCTAGCATAGATGATAAGGCACTAAATACTATTTCAAAATACTATAAAAAATTCTCCACTCCAATTATTTAAGTAGAAAATGTAGAACTTTGTTGTCGATGGACGGGAGGAAAAGAATTTGAATCTCTAATATTTTAATAAAAAAAATAACTTTAGATTTATTTCTATTTAATAGATCAACAATCAAGTCCCTGAACAACTTTCATTCAATTTTGTATCTGTTAAACTTAACTAATTTATTATATATAAATTTAAATTTTATGCTCAATAGAACATTAAAATTTCTATTTCATATCCAGTCAATTTCAAAAAAAGTTAAATATTTAAATCAGACAACACTCACAGAAAGCTATAGTTCACTATTTTTATAAGAAATCAGATAAAAAGTTGGGAGTTCAACTCATAAGAAAACATGTCCTGACCAACAAAAACAAACAGAGGTGCCAGTAAAATGAGGGGTAAACTAAGGCAATGATATGCCTGTCTGATGGACTGCTTTCTGGATGTAGCAGCCATTTGATTACATGAAACTTGGGCAAACAGGTCCTTTGGAAAGACCAAGGCGGACTTCCATTCCATGGTGCATGTCCAATGGCCTCAAAGATTCAGATTCTCTTGGGTCTGCAAATGACAATGACATAGGACGTTGTAAATAAACACCAGCAAAGACTATTATCTAAAGTGGGTATATATAGAATAATGAAAACACGGCGAGATAGGACTAGAAAACACAGATTCATTATGTTTAGTGAAAAAAAAAAAAAAAAGTGAAAGCAAACATCCCTTGTGGAAATGAGTGGCTGCAATCTTGCATAAAGACTAGTGGATGGAATATTCTATGTGATATTGGTTATTGGAAGCAGCGGAAACTCTTGCGAACTTCATCCAACAGACATGTGCTAGTAGTCGCAAGATGGATGGTTAAAAGTGAGGAATAAGATCAAGTGAAGGTCCCTGAATACTATTTTTCTAATTGTGCTAAACCCGACCATACTTCATGGATTTAATCATCCCACCAATGTCAGATAGTCATAAAGAGAGTTGTTAAGATTAAAAGAACTATTTAAGGTAATTGAAAACTCTCATGAATGATGCAAAAGAATATAGTGAACAACAGAATCAGATGAGCTATTAGGATCTAGGTCACTTCATAAGTTCTCATTTTACCATTTAGATAATCTTCAAAGCCAAAGTCATCCAAGCTTCCAGTAAGAGCCTCCAAACCCAGCATTGAAGATGGAATAGGTCCTGGAGGCCTTTGAAATCTGCAATAGCGTTGAATTAGCATATAAATTATATTAGCAATGATTTTCAAATTCCAACTAGACAAACAGCTAGAATTAACTTAACTGGCATCACAAGTTGAAATGTTGGTGAAAATAAAAGAAAAGAAAAGTAGATGCCAGATTTTAGTCTCCCCATTTAAATTCATGCACATCAAACATTAATTCCACAAGAGATCCTATTTTAATGTCATTAGCATAACAAGGGATGAGGGGGAAAGGTGCTCCCACCACACTTCCAGAGAACTAAATTTAACATGTGTACGAAGAGAGCAAATCACATGAGGTAGAAGAGTCAGTGGAGTGAACTATGACCTTTTTGCTCCCCACCAAATCATTATAAAACAACGATTAGCAATGTGATTAAAGTTGAAAATAAAATAAAATAAAATAAAATGCATAACCAAAACAGCAGATTTTGGCCTTTTCACTAATACTCGAATTTAGAACACACCAACAGAGATCCAGCATCAATGCAAGGAGAAAAACCATACCGAGAAAGAATTTGCCTGTCCAAATCCATCTTCAGTGGAAAAGCAGATCCATATGTATTCACAAGAATTTTCCTTTTCATCTCCTCTTCTGTTCTCCTCGTCTGAAGCATGAAAACAAGGATATACATGTATCAAATTAAAATAAATTGACTCAACCAATTAGAAAAAACTGTGGTTGATACACCTTTCTTGGTGGATACCGTTCATTATGACTAAACCAACTTAAATGTCTAAAATTGTTTGAAAGATTTATGGTGTTTATCTCATAAATGTTTTGAGTGCAAACTAATGCCCCTCAGGTGCTGCCGTAAGAAATTCATGTTGGATATAAAGAATTCTATTAGCAAATGAAGAAAGAGAAAGAAAAGGGACAACCATCCCACCCCAACCCTATAATCAAGTCAGAAGAGACTTTTCGGTGCTTTTCCTAAGTATCCCCCCTCCTGAATGCTGGATGGTCACTAATTACAAGTTCCAAAGAATATGGCTGCTCTTAGTCCTCTCCATAGAAATCTAATTGAGGGCAGAACCTACTTGCGCACTGTCCATTTGCAAGATTGGACACCCAAAATATTGAAATATGGGGATAGAAAGAGAGAATTGACCATAATAACAGGAAATAAAACGTCAAGTTACAAGTTCCTAATCCGAGAAACATGGGCAAACGGTGGTTCATCAGCTCCGTCGAATCTAGATTCTATTTCTAATAACAATCTAGTCTAACTGCAAAAAAATAAACAGCAAAATCCACACAGAAATCAAATAGGGCAACTTAGATTGAAACTTCCAGTCCGCTTTTCCACATTGTATAAAACAGCGATAGAAAGAGAAGGAAAGGAAATTACACTTTCGTAGAGGGATTCGACAGGATGAGACCCGACGAGGTCGCTCTTAACGCCTTGGAGCCCAAATCGAAGCGCATCGTTCTGGATCCCTCCGATTTCATGGGCTATTGTCTTCGAAGATTCCATTTTTCTTCTTCAAGGAGCAAGTTGAGAGAAAACTTATTCAGCAAGTCGAGAACGGAAAGCTGTGCCTCTGCGAACTGCGAATTGGTATCGTTTTGGTATTTATATAAAACACAGTGACTTCGAAGAAAAATTTTCATTTTGTTGGCCAAAATAATCAGATATATATGTGCCTATCGGTTTGGGTAATTTTAATTTTAGTTTTTAATCTCACATTTTCAATTTTACTTTTTTAGGATAAATCGAAAAAATTATAATTCTTAAAGATAAAGATGGTTAAAAAAAACTTATAAGAATTGAAAGATAGTTGGTTTAATCATAAAAATTTTAAGTGTTTTATTTGAAACAATTTTATATTGGGTTGACTTTTAAAATTCTTTTAAAAAGCACTTTAGAACCAGAACATGTTTGAAAGAATTTAGTTTTGGTTTGTGAGGATAATTTTTAATCAATGTCGAAGAAAAACTTGAAAAAAAAAAAGAAAAAATGAAAAGAAAAATCTAATATTAAAATAAAACGAAGGTCGAAAATAAAAAAATAAAATAAAAGCCACACCACACTACAAAAAAAATATAATAAATAAATAAAAGTGATGGATAATAAGAGGACACGTAGTGAAAATTGGCGGGTTTAGAAACGGATTCCATTCTCGTTAACCACCGGAGCTTCATTTTCTTCTCCGTTCTTCAGAGTTTCAGAGACAGGTAGAAAGAAAGATAGTCGATTTCGATGAGTGGAATATCGCCTCCTGCTGCTCTCTGTTCTCATGACAAATTCACTCTCCCCAATCGCCTCTCCCTTGTTTCTCTGCGTTTCTCTCGTCCCTACTGCGCAACCTCTCTGCCAGGCGGCGGCAACCGAAACGGTAGAGCCAACTTTTTCGTCCATCTCGAACCGAGAGCTCCTCTGCAGAAGCCTCAACGTTTAGCTTTCACATTCTCGGCTAGAGCTGCTGATACTACTCAGCCGTCTTCTGTTTCAGCCTCGCCGGACAAAGCAGTAGTTACCGATGATGAATTCTCGCTTGCGAAAGTATTTTTCTGATTCTCTATGGCTATGAATTCTTGAATCTTGAGAGTAATTGTATCGGATATCTCTGGTAGCACTTGGTTTGGAATTTCTCAATTCTGTTTAATGCGCTGATAATGGTTGCGAAGAAACGAGAGGAGATGTTTGAGAGAAAAGTAGTGTTTAAATTGTACAAGAGACAAGTTTTATCGTCGTTAATTTTCTCTGCTTTAAGCTTTGTTTTCATTTATTATGTGAAGCTCTTGGTTATTCTCGAGAATTATCTATGCGCTAGAGGGAGGGAAAAGGAAAGGAAAGAAAGTTCTCTCCAATTTTAGTCGATGAAATATATATGTTGTAGAGATTGGATCTAATATATCTGCTATGTTAAATTACTTCTATGTTTAAAGTTCTAAGCTATTAAACTAGGACAAATTAATCATTTAATATGTTCCTCATATAGATTTAAAAGATAGATATGCCCCAAATGTATGGAACAATCAACCTTCTCTCTTTATGCATAGTGATGTATTTTCTTAAAGTCTGTTTGATCTGTAATTGTGGTGTTTTACTTTTTTTTCCCACAGGTTTCATTTGGTGTTATTGGCTTAGGTGTTGGAATTTCTTTGTTGTCGTAAGTTGTTTCCTCCTCGAGACTCAAAATTCCTAAATTTATAAAATAATTCTTGACCGCATACTGGTGAGTAGGTATCTTCCTACTCTACTATTAAAAAGTTCCAATTTCTCATTTTCTGGAAGAAATTATGTTAATCATACTCCCTTTGTTCACACTACGTCTTTTGGTTTACAAATAGTTTTTTGATGTTGTGGACTCCACATAATTTTTAAAAGAAAATTTCTCATTTTGTACCTTTCTTTCTCGTAGGTGTCAGAAATTTAATAGTAGTGTAGAAAGATACCTGTCCACCAGTATACAACCAAGTATTTTTCAAAATTTTAACTTGTACATTTGATCTGTTTTCATTCGATATAGGTATGGATTCGGTGCATACTTTAATATCCTCCCAGGATCCGAGTGGTCTGCCATTATGCTAACATATGGCTTCCCTCTTGCAATTATTGGCATGGCTCTGAAGGTATATAACTTTCTATTTTTTCCCCTTCTGCAGTGTACAAAGGGATTAACGTGATAAATATAAGCTTTCAATGGCTGTTACTTCAGTAGCCACATCCATCTTCAGGTCATTTCAGCCTTTCTAGACCCTATATAAGTTATAACTCAGTAGCTGTTCCAAATTAAAAAATTTGTCAAGCCGTTTCTATCAGGTGTTTTTTTTACAAAAAGTAGTGTCATGTTAGTGTCCAACCACTTTCTATGTTTCATTTGTTATTTCCTTTCTGAAATGGCCTTGCAGGGTTGCTTCTTTTTTCCTAATTCCTTTTGCTTCATGTACTTGAGTTGAAAAGGAAAATAATTGGTAGAGAAAATCTGGTAACTCATTCTAGCTTTTGACTGTTTTGCAGTATGCTGAACTCAAACCAGTGCCATGCTTGACATATTTAGAAGCTCAAAAGCTGAGGGAATCATGCGCCACCCCTATTCTCAAGCAGGTTGAAGTTTGATTCTTTCTAATGGCTATGCTAGTAAAATATGTTGTAAATATGTTTTCTTGTGAGTGACTGTTTTGATAGACCCCGTTCTTATACATTTATATTTAGAGAGGGAGGAGGAGGAAAATGGGGCCCAAACTTGAGGAAATCTATACTTGTTGAGGATTATTGGGAGGGAGTCCCACATTGGCTAACTTAGAGAATGATCATGGGTTTATAAGGAATACATCTCTATTGGTATGAGGCCTTTTGGGGAAGCTCAAAGCAAAGCCATGAGAGCTTATGCTCAAAGTGGACAATATCGTACTATTGTGGAGAGTCGTGATTCCTAACATGCTATCAAAGTCATGCCCTTAACTTAGCCATGTCAATAGAATCCTCAAATGTCGAAGAAAGAAGTTGTTCGAGGACTTGGGGAAGAATGAATTTGTCGTTTTGTGTGAATATTATTGTTCCAAATTACAATTGAAAAGTTATCATTCAATTCACTAAGAACAAGAAGCTCGCCTTTTGTTTCAATTTGACTGTTACTTCAATAGTATGTAACTTGCGAGTTCAACTGACATTGACTCAAATGTATAATCATTTTGTATATACACAATTTCTATTGTATGAACTGTTTCATATTTCTAATCACTTTTTAAAGTTTTTCACTAGGTAAGAGATGATGTGATAAGGTACCGCTATGGGGATGAACAACATTTGGATGAGGCATTGAAACGGATTTTCCAGTTTGGTCTGGTAAGTAAACTGGCGCCATTTGAATCTTCTTTTATGTGATCTTCGATTACATTTTTACGTGGTTGTAATGTTGTGGATTCTTCTTACATCATTAGCAATATATCAATTCAAAAGACTCCTGCTTTATCAGTATAGAAAGCTGGCTTCACTTTCACTTGGCTGTTGCATTGTTATAAAACTAGAATTCAATACACTACTAGATGCCGACTAATTTTTGGACTGAAGCTGTTTGACCGAGTTCATGCTTGTCCTATTTGAATTTTGGATCCAGCAAATAATCAAATACATAGGACCAGGAGTACACATTTTGACCTTAATGGGAAATTGCATCGGTTGTGTATTTGAGTTCTCATTTTTTTGCTTTTACACTGATTTTTGCTATCCGATCTTCATTGCATTCTACTTCTGTATACACAGGCTGGGGGAATTCCTCGAAGGAGTGCACCTATTTTGCAAAGTATTCGTGAAGAAGTATGTTTACTTGACTTGACTTTGTATTTATTTCATATATCACTGGTCACCTCAGTACTTAGGACGCTTCTGATTGTACGAACTAGAAGTACTACTGAATACAATAGCATGTTATCAGCACTTACGATTCTAATGTTCTGCCATTTGCTACAATTCTAGGTTACAGAAGACGGAAAATATTGCCTGGTCTTGATGTTTGAAGCCAAAGCCTTGACATTGTCAGATTTTGAGAAAAGACAGGTAATTGAGACATGATTCTTCTTGTATCGTTGAAGAAAGAGTGCTAACTTTCTAGGGGATTATATTTAATTGCTCAATATTTTGCTAGTGCTGATGTAGTCATGATGATAAATGTTTCTGCTAATTCTAAGGGAAGAATAATATTCGGAAGATTTACAAGCGTTCCTTACAGCGAACCTATTTGTGAAAACATTGTTAAAAGATCACCACCACTAAATTAGTTTCTTCAATGAATTTACAGGCAAAATTTGCTTCTTTCTTTGGACCAGGGATCGCTGCTGAAGTTGGTGAGCTTTATACTACGCATAATTTATCCTTTTTTTTGTTTGTCATTTTACCATCGTTAACTGGTTTTTTTTTTTTTGCGTGAACATTGCTTTAAAACTTTTGCAGGGAAGGGAGACAATGATCTGTATGAAGTCCGGCTTATTTCTAACACTATTCCTGGTGCTTCACCATCATAAAATATACGGTTTTAATCGAATTCTACATATAATTGTTTCATTTACAAACTGCTGTTCACTAGTGAAGTTCTGGTAAGTATATATTTCTTTGGAAACACTGCACTCAAAATCATCCGATCTCTAATGTTTATAAAAAGTGAAACATACATAAAAAAAAAATATTTAGAAAGAGAAAAATCTGACATCCAAGATGGTTTCCTTCCTGAATTTAGAATGGCATCTCCAAAAGACCATGAAGAAGATGATGTAAAAACAGTTCGTTCTTAATATAGGACATTCTAGCTTACCTATACCTATTCCGGAACTACTTCACATGATGCACACTTGGTTATTTGATTAATGAAATTACCCTTAGTATAGTCACAGAAATAAGAAATGTATCCTAGCAAACTACAAGCTACAGTCTAGAAGGCACCCAATGCGGTACACATGCCCATAAACATGTGCATTATTGGCTTGCGTATGCCAATGCCAATATTGATTATAGCTTTACCTCAACTTAGTGAAGTAGAATAGCCTCTTATATATATATATATATATATATATATATATATATATATATATATATTTTGAGTTAAATGAGAGTGAGGATTCGAACATTTGCCTCTTAGACAAGGACATAAGCAATACCGGTTAAACTATGTTTAGATTAACAAAAGAGTGTGATACTTATACATTGATACAGAGCTTTCTTATTGTGAGAATTACATTTATTACCATTAAACTGTTGTCATTGCCACATAGGACATTTTGAAGTCTCATTCAAAATATTCCATTGAAGATTTTTGCCAATCAGTGATTCATCATTATTTATCTTATTTCTAAGATTGGTCATCAATCATTTGATTACATTAATGATAGCGAGACCAAAAAACAATGTTCTGTTCAGAGGTGTTAATTGGTCCCAAATGAAGTCTTACAAGCGTTCCTTACAGCTGAACTTGGGCTTAGTATTAAATGCCATGACTAATATTGAAGCCTAAGTAACTAAAATTGAGTAAAAGTCAGGTTTTCATTAAAATTTACCGGGCACCAAAAGAGGGGAACGCGAAACATGTGTTTTTATACTCCATTTTATATATTCTCTCGAGGGTCAAGTCCACGTGAAACTTCCATTGCAGATGTTCTATGGTCTCCTCTCCCATCTCCCTGCGTCTCAATTTTCCTTGCTGTAAACAGGGAATTTTGACTAGCTCGTCGAGGAGAACCATCTTAATTGAGGGTCGAGTTTTCCTAATGGAAGAGATGGCATCTCCTTCAAATGACTTCTATGGTTGAGAATCAAGTAGATTTAAGTCTATTGTTCAGTCGAGTTAGATGGGCCAGAAAAATACTTGTCTCGGAAAATTCTTTTAAAAAATTGTTCTTTTAGAGGGAGCATCTCTGAATGTTAATTAGGGTGAGCCATTGAACTTGGGCAAAGTGCGAAAACATACGTATTCAAAGATGGGATGGTTCCTTAAACACAAGTTGGAAGATACCTGCCATTGAGAAGATTTTTGTCGTCGTGCCGTGCATAAAAAGGTTTTGCACATTCCTTTTTTCAAATATTCATATATATGAATGGTTGAAATTGCTATTTCATATACGGTTAGTTCAAGTATAGTTTTCGTTATTTATTCACATTTTTTAGACTTGGTTATTCCTTTAGAAAATATTTAAAAGATTTTAGAAGTTCTTCACCATCATGTTTGAATATTCAAACTAATGTGATATGTACGTTTTGAATTTTTTACTGTTTTGATATTAGTGGATCCTGGATTGGGGCTGTTTTATTAGCTCACGAAGCACTTGTGTTGCAACTAGACCAATCTTCCTTTTTCCTTCACACTTTTTAGGGATCCATTGTATGATTTATCTATAATATTAGACTTGGATCAGTAATCCTAGTTATTGAAAGGTCTGTTTGTCTAAAGGTAAAGACAAAAGGCATGCACGTGAAGTGAGAAAGATAAAGCTGCTCCCAACTTTCACCATCCCAATAAACAATAAACTAAAGCAGGGAGAACCACGAAACTAAGAGCCTTAACCTTTCTTACGCAGGCCTGAGGTCTCTCTCCATGATTGCCCTTAATTTCTTAACGTGAACACAAACCTCACTAACACCCGCGAAAATATGCCTGAATATAGATAGAATCTCCTTTTGCCATTTTGCTCAGGAACTTTTCAGCACCCTTTTAAATTCAAATGAGGTAAGAAATTCTTCGTTCTTGTTTTGTGTTTATCTGTCTGTCTTGTTCTCATCCATGACAGGCACCCACCTTGCCTCCACCTTTGCTCCTTTGCACTGTTTCTATCTCCCTTTTCTCCTTTTGTCATCTCCTTTTCTTTGCTTGCTTTAATTGTCACCTGCACTCAATATTTGCTAATTTAGGCATTTTTATGTGAACATGACCCTCCTGGAAATCTGTAGAAAATGCTCAAACTTTGTTGTACAATATCTCTGTGTTGGAATGAAATTTCATGCCTAAAATGAGAAATTTAGCCTCGTGAAGGACCGTACAACTAAATTATGTTTTGGGCCTCTAATACATTTGATTGAGAAAGTAAAGGTTTCATTAATTTAGAGTTGTTACCTTTTCCTCCCCAACTGAAACGTATAAATCTGTTGTTATTGGGAAGGAAAAAGAAAGGCACACAGCCAGAGTTACTCACCATAATGAGCCATAATCCTGCCAGACAATGGTAAAGCCAGCCACACTGGTGAAATGATGAACCACAGTTCAATCATACCAATAAGACAAGATCCAGAAGGTTCACTTCTTATGCTGGACGATAACCTTTGAGAACTGTTTTTTCGTTTTACTTTCTTGTTTCTTTTCACTTTTAGTTTTTCCCTTGAATCCCAGCCCACCTGTGGACTGATTTTGAAATTATTCTTACTGATATTGAGGTACAAGCATGTGGATGTCTTATGAATGACAGATGCAATGACTCGGATACTTTTTTTTTTTTGCATTATTTTGGTCATTCGACCATGCCCTACAAATGCATAACCATTTTTTTCCAGAAAGAGAGAAATAAAGCAGAAATTTCTACATAAAGTAGCAGGAACTGTGAGAACCCATTTTGTATTTTCCAGGAAAGAATCTCGATGGGCTCCACAATAAAGCTAATATATGGTGGGGAAATGGTTGGGGAAGTGGGATTGTTAAATGCATGGTACAGAGTTTATGGTGGTTGGGGCTTGGAAATACGTTTTGTGAAATTGGCTTTGTTCATGTTCTGATATATTCTTGGTTAGAATCCTCCAAGTTTTCTTCTCTCTTTTCCTTTTCCCTTCTGATTGATTCTTTTTTGCTGTCCGGAAAATGCTTCCCACAAACAGAGACAACCACAACTGTATGAGTTGTTGGGAAACAGACAACGATAGGAGAAAATCATAGGACTGTGAACTATAAGCCTATGTGAAGAAGCAGAAAATGGTGTCAATTTTACTCTTACACTTCCCCCATCTTGTTAGAACTTCATTCTGAATCAGTCGAGCCTAATCTTGACGACCCCATTTGTAGAAATGCACTATTAGCACTCTTATGTTTTGGGTTATGGGTTAATCAGCCAGAAATGTATTCCTAGATTGAATTTTTTTAGCTTAATAATACGTAGGAATGGTGATTCATACTTCTAACCTTTTTGTTGAGGCTATATGACTTCTTCCTAGATTTCTTGATTAGTTGGGTTGTATTAAGCTTGTGATTTCAAACCCCTTTGATCTTCCTTCTACTAAATCATGATTATCATTTCAAAGATCAAAGAATGTACATACCCCTTCCTCTGATTTCTTTGTTTGAGTAGAACAAGAATTTGGTGAATTAGTTTCTTCTTTCCCACATGCCTTTAAGGATGTCACCATGGGAGGCGTGGAATCAGGGCTAGGACATGTTGAACTTCTTTCAGGTGGTGTGCTTTGAGTTCCAACATCTTTTGTCATCCCTTCCACTCTCTTTTCTACAACTCAAACATGGAAACTTGTTCATATTGAGAATCCAACTTCAAATAAATCTTTCAAGGCATGCTATAAAATTTGCGATGGTACCTGGAATTGGATATCGGTTAACTGCTTCCTCTTGGGGAAATGTAATCGGCCTTTCATGGAGTTGTCTTGACTTGGTGGAATAAACTAAAGGAGCAGACATGGTGATTCTGCTACTGAAATTTCTGAATGACCTTGCACTTAGTGTTTTAGCAGATAAACACTCCATTGGAACCTCGCCTGAAAGAGGATTGCAGATATATTTCTCTGCTTCATACCACTTCGAGTTCAAAGAAAACTGATCAGGCGACAAGCTTTCCCACATATTATATCTTGACTTTGCCTGCAATGCTGCACAAAAACTCCATTTTTGACATTTTACAGCCAACAAACGATTGATTTCTGATGTGTTTACAAGAATGTGTTACCTTTGATAGCAGCAGTGAATGAGTAGGTTGATGGGTCAATTTCATCTGCAAAAGAAAAAAGATGAGAGAAACCCATGACAGGAAAAACTGACTTGAACCAGAGAACAGAGAAGTAATTAAAGTACCTCTCATGGAGTAATAGCCTGGGGAAGAAGCAGTGCTGGAGATGGTTATGTTTGATCTGAAGGATCTGCCATCTTCCCTTAAGCTTCTTAAATAAGACCCTGAAAAACGTCTGGAACTTGTGTTCTCACACTTGAACCTTCCCTTAACTGGCCACTCTCTCAGATTGAAGTCCTCTGGTTCTTCCCTTCTTTGCGAGCTGTAATGAAACTGCTCCATTCTAAGACTCTGAACCTATGAGCAACAAGTTGAATTCAAGCCTTTTAAACCCCTTCAAGCTTCCCAATATCAGTCTCTTCTCAGTAGTTTATAAGCCCAAATATTCTCCATGATGCTGTAAAGACAAATTATCACTAGTTAATGATTGTTTTGTATAATGTCAAATTTATCTCTCTAATTTTGTCCTTTATTATCCCATATCTGAAAAGGCTGAGTTCCTTTTTCCCAAATAGAACAACTAGCTCCCACAAGTCCATTTCATCAAAATTTTGAGTCTCAATTATTGGTGTATATTGTTAGGATTGTGTTTCAAATAATGGGCCTCATACTAAGTTGTTGTATAGCTCAAAATGTTTCCCATGAAAT